GGGGAAGGCGTGTTTGAGTACTGCAGCTTTCAGAGCCAGCTCAAAACACCATAATCATGCCGCGCTAATAAGCCCTGCCAGGCCGGACTTTGATCTGCACACAGCAGCTTGAAGCGCGCGCAGCCGCTGCCTAATGAAAACTGCAAGCAGAAAGAATGGGAAAACCAAGAAGTTTTTCCTCGTTTGGGAAACAAACAGCTCGCATCGCTTTCTCTTTCAGTTTATGCCAACAATTCCGCCGTACGTTAGTTATTAAGCAGCATTACGTGCGCGCGGTAACCAACAGCAGTAAGGTTTGCCAGACCCCTTGAGCAAAATTTCCACTTGGGCCTTCCCCTGCAGCCTCCTGGATGGCAACAGGAGTGGCAGCAAGGCCTTGGGAGGTCACGTAGGTAGAAAATTCATCCAGGGCGAAGTAACAAACCGAGGGATTATTTTTTTTCTCTTTTCATTTACAATAATCGCAGTCTGTTTAGCCTTAGTGTTGCAAACTGATTTGTTCCAGGATTTTGCATCTGCTTTCATGAGAACGTTGGGATGATTCATTTTCGCAAGTTATTGCCAAAAAGAAATTTAAAAAACCACCAAAAAAACAACCAAAAAAACACAGAGGCATGGTAAACTCAGGGACAAAGCAGCCCTGAATGTTTAACTGTCAGTTGTCCCAACAGCCCAACCCAGGGTGGGGACCTGAACCGTGCCATATGTCGATGGGAAATAGGAAACTTCAGGCTGTAAAACGTTCCTTAATCTGGCTTCTTTCTGACCGAGATACCTGCAAATGCCTCCAAACTGCTCTGTTTCTCAAGATGTGAAGGAGGACGTGCCTGGAAAGGGATAAACACAAACTGAGGCAAAAATGTGTTGGCTGAAATGATAGCTGCTGCCTTTATTTTCTCACCCTCCCAGATGGCAGAGCTCCTTACCAACATTTTGCACATACATCGCAGCCGCTTCCTCCTGTTCCCAGACCTTGCATGAGAGTCATCCGCCCAGCCCAGCAAGTCATCCCAAATTACTCAAACCTTCGAGCTCCCAAGGGCACCGGAGACCGACCACCCCAGAGGACATGCTCCTCCCCTGGTCCTCCTCGCTTCCCGTAAGTACGCCTCGGGGGGGTGGGTTGTGCACGTTGGAAGCTCCTCTGATCTGATTCTGTGGGCTTTAAACCAGTAATTCTGAAGCCTCGTGAGCGTGCCCGGGCTGCAGGGCGACGTACGAGATGCTGGGTAGTTTCCTTTATTGGCTGTTTTACACCCAGCAGGGTCCTGACCTTACCCTAGAGAACTTCAAAGCCAGATACCTGATACGTTGTTACAGCGCACCCTGAAATGCTTGCGTTAAGGAAAATAAACGCTTGAAGGCTGAAGGGATGAGGAGTTGAAAAATATCTGGGTTGAAACCTTAGAGCTCTCTTGCTCGAGAGCAGAGGTCAGTTCACCAGCTCACTGCGGCCTTCAGCTTTACGCTGTACCAGCCTGGGACGCCTCAGTCATTGGCTTGCAGTGATTTTCTTCTTCCCTCTTCTGTAGCTCAGAGAAAAAGGGAGGAAACCTCGTCCGTCATTGACTTATCTCTACAGTGCAGTTTTCTGTGGTTTTTCATGTAGTAATAAAACACCACATGTCTAGCACTTCTCATCCAGGGCTTTTTGACTGGCTTTCAAATATTAATTTACCAGGCCTCCTATCTCCCTCCATATAAGTATGTCATTAACAGATGGGAAATACCACCCATGCGAGGTTTTCTTCAGACTCAGCTACCTGAAGACAAGCTGAAGCTTCAGGTATTGAGGACTGGTTTTAAGTGCCACCATATTTTTAGAGGTGCTAAACGTAACAGGCATCTGTGTCTGAAAATGTCCACTTACGTGACATGGTCTTGGCAGAAAACTGGGAGAACAGGGGGGACAAAAGAGGGCAGGTGGCTGAAATACCACACTGCTCTGGCCTGTGAAAAGTTAGGATCTGTGACAGAAAAGTGACAGTAGTATATGACGGTAGCTGCAGCAAAACTAATTGCACTGAAGAGCTTGTATGAACATGTAAAAATACTGAGGAAAAGTGGGTATCCTTTGCTTCAGTAAAATTTAAAAACAGACTCCTAACTTCTGGTGCATTTGTTAGATAAGGTGAAGTTTTGGGAAGATAGCCACAGGGTAGTTTTTTATGGCCGTTGATGAGGTATGCATTGCTTTTCTTGCTACCTTCTTCCGCCAAAAGAAATCAGAATACGCGGGGTCTGTCCTGCGGCTGTGTTGCTGGTGTTTGCATCCAGGAACGGCAGTTATATGTTGGGAATATTTGCCTATAGAGTATTTTGTAACACAAAACATCTGTACCAAAATGAATAAACCAAATCTTAATGTGACAACAGAAAACATGCTGTGACCAGCCTGTCATCATTCATTTAAGGAAGGCAGGGGAAAAAAAAAAAAAAGAGAGTGGGCTTGATTGCTCTGTGGGGAAAAGCTCTCAGAGAAACCTAACGCTCATCCAGCAGACTCAACCCCGCCGATGCAGAGCACACCTCACGTAAAAATCTGTATAGATTTCACTTCCTATTGGCTTAAACTGTGAAGCCAAAGCGTAGCAGGACAAGAACTGCTAAGCTTCCTAAAACCCTGCCCTTCTCTCTGTTCGTTACAGTGAAGCAGGCGTTAGGAAAGGTTATTGCAGGTCCGGAGCGCAGATCCCTGATGTGAGAAACCCTCGCTGGGTCCGCTGATGCTGGTCAAGAAGTTAACTTCGTTCCTTTTAGCAAAACCTTGAGTTTTGTCCAAAACTGGAGACCCTCCAAGCTGTGTCAGAGCTGGAGGCAGAGTGTCCCGCACCCCCATTTTTCCCACTCCCCACGTTGCACTGTTGTGCCGGACAGGACATCCTGAGAACTGCCGTGCCACGGGCAGCTGAGGTGCCGTGAAGCACCCCTTCACATAACGGGAAGGGGTTACCCAAGTGCCACCCCGCGCCCGTACGTGCGCAGCAACACCCAGGCCACGGCGTTACTTCTTACATGGAAATGGCCTTTGCTTCTGCTCATTGCAAACCGAACAGCTTTCAGCGATGAGGTGCGTTTGCTTCCTGCGGCTGATGTTGCTTCTGCAATAAACTGCATCTTGTGGTAGGCTGTCACCAAGGTATCCGTTCAGAAAGGTGCTGTAATAACAAGTAGAAATGCCAAGTCAAGCATTTCTAAAGAACTTTTCTTAGCTAATACACAGACAAAGGTCTTACCATGTTATTAAGAATTTAAAAACCTGAATTTTGCCTGAAAATAAATATTTTTTAAAATCCTCACTTGCTTTTCTTTGTAGAAACCAGTTATACAACCAGCTACCTAATGGTCAGCTGCCCCCCAAGGCATGTGGCCCGAATGAAGCATGCTGTTGTCCTGACAACTTTCCGTCTCCAGCTGCTGTCCCGAGACCTCTCAGTAACCCTGCAGCCAAGGGAACTCTGAGAACCAGCAATTTGCCGGAGGAGTTGCGTAAGTGGTTAGCAAATTTGTTCTGTGCAAGATTCTGCAGCGCAGCCTGACAGCTTTAGGTGGGAAAGTGCCGGGGGGGAGGGGTGGGAGAAGATGGGGGAGCAACATTAAGACACAAAGACAACAAGAAAAGGAGTGTCATCACATCTGTAGGGTGTGAGCGTTCGTGTTTGATGCGATGGAATTATGCCCCTGAATCCTGAAAACATAATTGTCATTAATTGCTTGTTATTTTGTTTACAAAAAATAAATACCATTTAGATTGCTTTCATGACTTCTTGCTAAACAGGATGTCCCTTTGAGGCAGGAGGCAGTCAAGCTTACAGTAAAAGACCAATAACAAACAAAGCCTTGGGGATAAAGTGTTTCTGCCTGTCCCAAACCAGACAAAAACGTCGAGTCTCAACCTCATTTTATCCCTGCCCTGGTGAGTGGAGAGGCCTTTGGGCCAGGAGCCCACGGTGAGGGCTGAGAGTGGCACAGACACTGCCTGAGGTGCTTCCCCTGCTGCCAGCCCCTGAAATCCTTTCACCCTTCAACTCTGTGGGAAAGTCACGGTTTAGAAAACTGGCTTCCTTCTTAATGCTGTGCTAGCTGGCAGGTGAGATACACCATTGTTAGGAACCCTCCACATCTCTGCTGAGGCTTTGATTTCTTCTTTATTCTTCATTTTGTGCATCACCTTTCGAATCCAGAGAATTGCATCTCTCTGGCCTGGAGGAGTGAGTTATGACAGCGGATACCACTCGGATAAACCCTACTTTATCAGTTGGTGTGCCCTAGATACAAGAATTACTGGATAAAATTGTGTCGTTAGTGATACACGACAGCTGGATTAGATTAGCCAGCTGGTTTACCCCAACCTGCAAATCCATGATCCTTTAATTACTAAGACAACTCCTTCCTTGATGGCAAGGGCAGCTGAAGCCACTGCTGCCATCAGCCAGCCCTCCCGCCCGGATGGGGGTTAACATTGCTGTGAGGAGGTACGTGAGGGCTCCTCATCTCTCAGATCACCAAGGTTGTGGGGGGAGGGCTGTGTCAGCACCTGGTGCAAGCGGCATGAGTTTGGGGTGAGGGCCCAACCTCGTGTACACCGAAGGGCTGGGGAGCAGCAGCTCTGGCAGCAGGGCAGGGCAAGTAGCAGAGTGATGTTACCCTCTCCAGCTTCCCCGGAGGCGCTTGCCAGCAGCAAGGCAGGAGGAGCTTTAACCTAGACTAAGGTTGCTGGATGGGGGGGTTGAGGTGAACACCAAGCCACTGCTCTCTCCCGTACCCGCTTTGTATATAATCTGGAGAGAGGTAGGTGGGCAGGACCTGCAGTGCAGCGGAAAAGGAGGGTTGTGATCGTCTCGCCCTCCGAATGGCGTGTTTTGATGTGTTGTGTATTCATACGGACTCTCTCCCCTAGGCAAGGTCTTTATCACCTATTCAGTGGACACAGCGGTGGAGGTTATGAAATTTGTGAACTTCCTGCTTGTAAATGGATTTCAGACTGCTGTAAGTATTCCTTCCGGAGAAAATTACTTTCAGCCAGGGGAGAAAAGAGACTTTTTTTCAAAAATGCAGAGGGGATCCATGGTCCATTTAAATGTTTTTCTGTCTGTCATCACATTTTTGTAAGTTTGGGAAGATACAAATAGAATGAACTAGCCTTGAACTTAAAAGTTGTAACTTAAATAGTTTGCCTTTTTGTTTTGTTCTTATTTTAACTGAAGTTTATGCTTTAAACTGTGTTTTAATAATCACCTTGGAAAATTCCATTTAGTGACACCAGCCGGGTGATAGTATGAGGCTTTGAGCTATTCCATTAACATTGTCTCATATTTGATCTGTAATATCAATATTAAAAAGGTCAATTTTCATGTTCATCCCCTCCTAGCTTTTTTTTCCTGAGACGCTATTACAGCATTGGTTCTTCAGATGTGAATACCTTTCTACTAAAAACCGATCTAAAATCAGTGTATGTCACACAGCTTAATGAAACAGCCTGTCTCGCGGTTTCGTTTGCTTTGTTACACGTTTTAAAAAGGATTCTAAAATCACTGGCCTGAAAAGGTCTGTGTCCTACTGTCTAATCCCATAAGCCATCCAGATATTCATTTAACTTTTCGTGAGTTTGCTTCATCATAACGTCCTTCTCTAAGGGAACCAGCTGCAGAGGCTCTAGGATTCCATCAAAATCTTGTTCCATAATTTCTTACTTCAAGTGCATATGCTATCCGACCCCCTCAACCTCCACTCTTTGGCTTCAGTTCAGGAAAGCATTTAAGCAAGTGGCTATCATTACACTGAATAAGACTCGGCGGGGGGCTTTGCACACGCTTATTTATTTTTCATGAATCAAAGATTGTTTTTTTCCAGGGAGTGCAATTATACTTCTCTCCAGCGGTTCGGTGCTGTGGTGCCCGATGCTTTCCTATGAGTTGGCCTAGAGGTACAGGGTAGAGGCTTATCAGCAGCACCTTTGCTGGACAGGCAGTTCTTGGAGCACGCTGCAGAGTAATGTATGGAGCGAAATGGCCCCAAAGCAGGGAAGCAAGTATGTTCTCTACTTTCAAAACGGGGAAAAAGAAAGGCTTGAGATCAGAACATGACTCTTCTGTCAAAAACTTGGAGAATTTAGTACTTAACTCCATTGGTCACGGTCACTGGTGGTGGGTTTCTGGGCTGGCAGAGCCTGCAGGGAAGTGAGCGGTGTTGGCTGTGTCCTGTCCTATGAAGTCCTACATGTTTCTGCTCTCACCAGGGGCTGGATCACTGCATCCAGTATCAGTGACCTGTCTGACTTCCCTCCACACACTCCGAAAATGTAGTTCAACATGAAACTGAAACTTGACACTCAGTATATATACCCTTGCAGCCAGAAAACAGTGGACGTTTGCAGCTATACAGACAAAGAAGGTGGCAGCCGTGCATGTTTAGAGGCAAAAAAAAGCCAGTTTGCAAACACTGAATATCTAACGTTCTCTGTCAGTGGTTTGTTTCTTGTTCTGTGGAGCAAAAACTGCCTGGGAGCTGGCAGGGTGGCTGGCTGAACGGCCGGCTGAGCGGGAGCCCAGCACTGTGCCTGCAGCAGCTCCCCTCTGCCTGTCAGGGTGCCCATCCAGCTCGCCTCTGGACTGCAGCGAGGGGGAAGAAGTGCGTGCATATGTTTCTTTCCTAAGGGAATTATGCACACGTGTTAGAAATGAGGGAAAAGAGCCTTCTCGGTGCCTCCATACGGGGAGGAAAGGTGAAAGGGTGCTCACCACAGACTTTCATTCTCTTGCAGATTGATATATTTGAGGACACGGTACGAGGTATTGACATCATTAAGTGGATGGAGCGCTACCTAGGTGATGTATGTAAAGGCAATTTAACCTTGTTTATGGCCGAGGTGACCTGAGGAAAATGGTTGTATTATTCCAACAGCGACAGGAGCAGGATCCAAACCAAGATGCTACTGTCGTCGGCCCTGCCTCTACGGAAATGGCGGAGGCCTTGCAGAGGGAGCATAGGCACATCTCACTCGCTTCTGTCCCCTGAGGTCCTAAAGCTCACTCTTTAAGAAATGAAGTGCAAATCCTGTCATTCCTGCCAAATTCCAATGCTGGCTGCTACATTCAGCCTGAAGCTGCCATTGGACAAGTTGTTCCTCCATCTCATTTTTAAATAGCGTTTTTTAGCTATGCTTGGTTAAAATGCTATCTGTATTTCATCCCAGGCTGCACAGTCGTGGGTGATGTTCATCCTGCGTCTCACCTTTAGCTTTTACATTGCTGTCTGAAACACCAAAGGGTTCTTCTGCGTAAACCGTCCTATATATCAGCTGGAAACTGGTATTCTGTTAGCGCAGCGATACGTTTGCTGTCATCGCTATCTAAGCAGGAAAACAGAGATTTACGTTGCTGCCAGGGCAGTCTTCGCAGCAGCAGCTTCCTCTGAAGCTCAGCTGAGCAGCGAGTGCATGTCCCCTTTAGGATCAAGCCAAGTGGTGACAAGCTGGATGCAAACCGGCGATTCTGTCGCTCGACACGTGCCATCCTGGGGTGGATTCCTTTGACTCGTGCCTCGCTGGGTAACCACCGGGCCTCTGGCTCACTCTGGGCAGATCTCCCTGGCTTGGAACAGGATGGCAGAGAGGTGGGCGTTGCTTCGCCTGAGCAAGGAAGCTCACCCACCTGAGGCAGCCCTACGCAGGTGCCCAGCAGGACACCTGACCTTGGGTGCGCTGCCACGCAGACGTGGTGCCGCCGCACGCAGAGCCAGTGTGGGGCCTGTGCCGCTGCGATGTAGTCGTGCCCTTTCGGGCTTTCATCAGGACAGTTTAGGCTCGGGTTCACCGTGTGTAATGAAGGTACTGAAACTAGAAGCCAGAGTGAATTTGCTTTTGCCAAGAACATCATTATCACCTAAAATACAAACTGGGTGATCTCCTTTGGGACTCCTGCACAGTCAGTTGGAGAGACCAGTAGATGTGCAGAGAGCAATTCCCTGCCTCCACGTGAGGATCCTTCTCTGACTGCCTGCCCCAGGAATGTTTGTTTTCCTCCACTGACTGTAGAGGCCGTTTCTAACTTAAAAACCCTTACCCTTGTGAGGAAGAAGGGACTGCTTGGACACAAGCAGGGGGCGGGTGCAAACCCCCAACATCTGTAAGTGCTTACATGCATGTCAGGCACAAACAAAAGTAATTCTGGAGTATGTTAAGCCGGTGTAAGGGATAATGGCTCCTTACCGTATTTGACCCTGCGGTGGGGCAAATTCCCTTGATATTGCACAGAAGGAAAGAGTTAATTAGGTGCCAGGCTGACTGTGAGCCACAGCCTGATGTGGCGGGGATGAAAGACAGGCCCTAGGTAAACACAAGCTGGAGGCTTTCATCTGCAGAGCCTCTTCACTTGGCCCACCATTAAGGAGGAGAGATGTTTCCCAGAGATGAAGGATGGCTCCTCTGTGGAAACCTGAGCTCAGTGGGGGCCCTGGGATTAAAGAGGTCACAGGCAGGATCCAGGCTGTCCTGGCAAGGCGAGGAGCATTGCCTCCAGCCCACGGTGGCGGGGTGGGACAGAGCTGCTAGGTGCCCCTAAACCTGCCCAGGCTGTCTGCACCAGCCACTTCTCTGCACGCTTCGCTGCTAAGATCAGCAAGAAAAGTTGTTTCTGTTGCTGAGAGCCCTAGACGTGGCTTCCGTAGACAGCTGCCTTTAGTGGCGTTATGTGTATAAAGCCACGGATGGTTAAATAGATGCACTTTTACATAAGCTGTTGGAAAACATTTCGGGCTGAATTTGAAGATAAAACTTTTCTGTGTCTGTACATAGATGCTCTATACTGATAAAAAATAGCTCTTCATGACCGAGATTCCAACTGTAAACTGGTAGCTGCTAATACATCTCTTGACATTTAGATTTTCTATATTATGAGATCTCGAGAAATAATGAGGGGAACGAGTGTACGAGTTCTCCTGTATTTCCTGCCAGAATGAATGAGATCCTCTGGTGTTTGCCAAGAACATAAAGATCACTTAAAACACAAACTGGCAGATTTCCGATCTGCCTCTACTAAACACACTGCGTTTCCCAATTTCATAAAAGTGCTTTTCTCCCTAACAGAAGACAGTGATGATAATCATAGCAATCAGTCCAAAATACAAACAGGATGTGGAAGGGGCTGAATCCCAGCTGGACAGGGATGAACACGGCTTACATACTAAATACATCCACAGGATGGTAAGCAAGGACATGCGTTTGCTGTTCTACAAAGACTCTGTCTCTTCTTCTCAAAAGACAAATCTGTCTCCAAATGGCAGGTTCTTTGCTTTGTTTTCCCTAATCCCCATAGTTAAACACCCCCCTTTGGAATTCATTAATCCTCCCTCTCATCAGCTCCGTATGCTCATTAACATCTGCTAAGAGGTTCAAGGAAGAAAAATCCTATTAAACATGCTCATCTTAGTTCTCCATAGTCTTTATTGCTGGATGTTTCTATCCCCTCTTTCACCTACCTGAGCCCTTGTAGCCCTGAGCACTATCTTATCTAACAGTGCCTGACCTTCCTCCCTATAAGCCAGCCCCCATCGCTTTGGCCATCTGGTAACTGAGGCCTTTTTTGGGTCAGCCATAAAGCTAACTCAAAGGTGGAACAGCAAAGCAAAGGCCAGGGCTGCAGAGGGAGGCTCCGGGGGGGTGCAGGGTGGCAGGGGACCAGCGGTGGTCACAGACACCCCTCTCTGCGGTCTGTCACTGGAGGGACATTTAGCCCAGAAGAGCCTGCAGCGCCATGACGCTCATCCCTCAGTTTGCCACGTTTCTCACCCTATAACCCATCTGATCCCCGGTTTGATCCTGCAGTCAGACTGCTCAGAAGCTGTCACTGACAGAGGATTTCACTTTAGTGTCCTTAACCACCCCCAGCATGCCTGTGTCCGGGGAAGCGGGGGACGGTGTGGGTCGCAACCGACACCGAGATGGGACATGGGGAACAGGCTGGGTCCTAGCTGGACACAGAGTTGGCCTCCCGCTGTAATCTTCCACCCTGTTGGAGAGTGAACAGGGGCCTTAGACAAGTCAAGCTTCATTGGCTCTAGATGGATTTCCTGGGATTGCAACTGCAGCTAAACCCACAGTTATGTCACACCACAGAACTAAACGCACAAGCAACATTGACGCGTCTTTCCCGTATCCTTTCTGTAGTAAGGAAGAGTCAGATTAAGTGGCCAAACTAAACAATACCGAGTCCGCCAGCAGTAGATCAAATCACTTGGCGGAAGAGCAGTTGGTGCAAGCAGCAAGCGTTTTCACCTCACAGGATTCAGATGCATGCGAAGAAAAATGCACGTGTCGTTACAGTAAATCTGGCTGTGTGTTCTGTTCCAGATGCAGATTGAGTTTATACAACAAGGAAGTATGAACTTCAGATTCATCCCTGTGCTCTTCCCAAATGCCAAAAAGGTAACATCCATACAGCATGTATACTTGTCGTGTGATTAGAGCACATACTATTTTGATTGCAGCGCACCAGATGAAATCTTAAAACCCAACCCCTCCGTTTCTTGGTTCTTACTATCCCACTAGTAATATTCCAAAGCTACATTTTACATGAAAAGTTTATAGTTTTGTGTGCGTACAAATAAAAACCATTTCATCCACAACATAAATCAGCGCATAAATGTATTTCCGATGATGGATGTACAACTAAAACTCAGACTGTCTTGAGCATTGAAAGAATTTAAATGGAGAGAGGCAATCCATCCAGCAGGCATGCTTTTTATATTAACCCTTTTTATAATTTTGTCCAGATGTAATGTTGATGAGTGAGATGGGAGAGATTTATGCGTGATGTGAAGTGAGGATCTGGAAGAGGGTGGGTTGAGAATATAAAAATAAAGAGGATAATAAATATTAAAGTACTAGGCCGTTGCTTGAACTTTGATGGGCCCATCAAAGGCAACCTATAAGGTTTTTTAGGACTATGCAATTTCATCTGCCCTCCTTATTGGTTTTGAAGATTGATTTGAGAATAAGAAAATAAGTAATGCAACAGATTCCCATCTCATCCTCCTCACTCTGAGAGAATCTCTTGGATTTTTACAAGGCCAGAACAGTTAAATGGCTTCAGTTATAGCTGAGAAATTGCACTCTCCCCCAGGTGTAGAATGGATGTAATGTATTCGTGTCTGCTTTTCGCCGCTGAACACTGTGTGCGCTGTTGGGTAGCTGTCATGTTACCCCAAGGTACAGCTGTCTTCTGGAAAAGTATGGAAAGAGCCTCTATGTTTCTTTGGGTGCCCAAATTTTGGAACGTGAGTCACAATTTAAACAATGTCATCAGTGATTGTAGGGCTGCAAAGTCCCCTGGCGCTGGTGGATTTTAGTGTAATGCAGTTCTTTCTATAGCCACCGATTTAATAGAGGCTCAGAAGTTTGAAAATATGTCCCTGGGTTTGTAAAATACACAAGTTTCTTTGGAATGAGCAGTACCTCTGGTATTCCATGTCATTCAACGCCCTTCCTGAATAATCTCAGCCTGGTGCTTGCCTTAAGTGAGGAAGGCTGCCAGATGGCACTGGTGGGAACTGGGCAGGGATCCGGGCAGCAGTTCTGGTCAGTCTGATCTGGGAGGACAGGGCAGGACTGCTCCTAACCTTGGAGGCTCCTGGAGTACCTGCCACGCCAACAGGCCATACAGCCTGTAGCTGCTCAGCACCTCAAGGGCTACAGAGGGAAGTGGCCCAGCGGGCGCTAGAGCTGCCTTTGGGCTTTGGAGCAGACGCACGAACAGTAAACTTACGTTCATTTTGGCTGAACTTCATGGATCAGAAGCCCATTTAGCATATAGCAGTGGTTCTCTCAGACAGTGATCTATAAGGAATTTCCAGGGTTGGTTTGTTCAGCTGCTCCTATCGAAGCATCAGGCTCCAGGCAGCCTTCCTGCCCATCCTCTGTAGTCTGCGTCACCCTTTGGATTTTCCAGAGGTGCCTGTCTCATCTAAGTGATGCAGATCAGCATTTTCAATTGCTGTTAAGCTTTGCTGTCTTTCTCCACACGTTTCTTTGGGGCACCATCTACCTCCACCTAACTAGCTAGTGACGGCGTAACCGGGGAGGGACATCCTGGGTGGAGGGAGAGCGCCAGAGCCTGAACAAGCTGCAGTAACGAAGTCCGTGGGCAGTCAGAGGAAGTTGAGGTACCTGAAAAATGTCACAATTGTGTACAGTTGGCTGAATTTGGCAGGGAAATTACTTTCATTTTGTCTTTTGTACAATGTACTTCACATGGTCAAGGACTACTGTAGCTGGCAGTGGAAAAGAGCAGGGAAGCAAGATTTGGAAGGTTTCATCTGGGGATGTGGCTATTAGATGAGTTAATCTGATATGAAGCACATCATAAAGCAGTAGTCGACCTCCAACAGGAAGGGATTTGTGTGATCCAAAGAGTGTTCATTAGGAAATCGAATGATGAGGAGAAAAAGCACAACACACAGTTAAGGTGGAACTGGCATTTCCAGCTTCCCATCATACACTGCTAAAGCAGACCTGGGTGTTGCTGGTTCAGGGCTGGCATCGAGCCAGCCCACAGAAATGTGTCTGCCTGATGCGGTCACCCGATGGCCAAAAGCACTAAGCAGCGATTGCCCGCACTGGGCGCTCCCTCTGGCAGAGCGGAGGCAGCCGGGGGGGTGAGGTGAGCAGGGTCCGTGCCAGGGCAGCCAGGAGATCTCAAACCATGGTCTGCTGATGCTACCCTGAGCACGCAGCCCTGCCCTCTGCGCGCAGACACTCTGCCCTCTCCCTACCGGTTTGATCCTCAGAGTTCTCAAATACTCTTTCTGCAGCGTAATTTCCTCACCGCTTACAGATAACGTGACGCAGTAAAAAAGAACTGAAAGGGTGGTAACCACTTTCCCGTTACTCCCACCGGTAACGACAGCCAGTGTCGCGCGGCAAGGAAAAGCCCCCTTCTCGCCTTCCCTGCTCTCCTCCTGGATGAGAACAGCAGCTGTAGTTGCCCCTTTACCCCTACACACCTCCCTCCAGTTAGAACTGGTGCCAGAGGCGATTAGCGTGCAGGTGCTTCTTGCTCCGAGGTCATTATGGAGGATATTAAATGCAATCGGCCACAGGAGCAGCTCTGGAAGAAAGGCGCAGGGCCTGTCTCTGGGTGTGTAGTGCCTCTCTCATTATATCCCCACTTGCTGGTTTCTTACCTGCTATACACTTCTCACGCTAATTTCCATCTTTTCAGGCTTGAATAATGTTTTCCCATGTGGACCTATATAAAATGCCTCACTGAAGTCCAGTCTGAGTACGTCCACTGCATTTCCTTTCTCCCAGAAATGTATTTGCTTATCAGAGACAGAGGAAGGGCTCAGTTGGTAAACCCTTGTTGTATTTCCGGGGAGACCTTATTGCAGCCTTCCAGTACCTGAAGGGGCTACAAGGAAGCTGGGGGGGACTTTTTACAAGGGGTGACAGGACAAGGGGTAATGGGTTTAAATTGAAAGGGGGGAGGTTTAGATTGGATATCAGGACGAAGTTCTTCCCGGAGAGGGTGGTGAGGCACTGGAACAGGTTGCCCAGAGAAGCTGTGGATGCCCCATCCCTGGAAGTGTTCAAGGCCAGGCTGGATGAGGCTTTGAGCAACCTGGTCTAGTGGAAGGTGTCCCTGCCCATGACAGGGGGGTTGGAACTGGATGGTCTTTAAGGTCCCTTCCAACCCAAACCATTCTGTGATTCTGTGATTCTGTTTCTCTGCATTTGCTTCTATAGCTCCTAACGAGATTTAGTAATGAGACAAATGTTACGTAATAAGGCTGCGCACATGCACACAAGCATAGTTATTTGTCATTCTCCCAGTAGCATCTCAGTCTCTTGGCCAATGTCAAATGTCTTCTCAAAGTTCACAGAGATTGAAATCCATTCCTATGCCAAAGCAGAACTGCAGCCGGAGACAAGAAATCTTATTTGTGCCTCTGCTAAAGGGTAAGGCTGCGGATCTTATGGCTGTTGGGCAGTGAGGTGTCCACCTGGAAGAGCAGCGTTTTAAAACCTCCACTCTGGGGAGGCCATTGACCACAGCCTATAATTTCTCGGCCCCTAGAGAAGGAGGAAGGCCAGGCTTGGACAGATACCTCTGCCACTCACCCAGCTGCTTGTTCAGAAGACCAGGCAAGATCAGACTAATGGGTCTGTAGGTGCCTGTGTAGCTTACCTCCTCCTTATACATAAATCCTACAGATATAACAAAGTGGTCGCAGCAATTAATGCAAACCATTCCCTGAGCAGTGGGAAGGATGCAGCCTCATTCCTACAGCTGTACAGGCCGAGGGAAAGGCAGCCAAGGCATGGGAATGAAAGGTTTGGACTGCAGCTAGGTTGTTTGCTGGCAGGCAGGACACGTGCTGCCCATGCCAGAGCATCCCCTGGCGAGGTGCCAGACGTGGTGCATGCCAGCAGCTCTTTGCTCTGTCCTGGTGGAGCTAGCTCCGCTGGCTTCACAGGTACCAACAGGGGCTACCTGGGGAAAATGCTACCCTGCCAAATAAAAGGTCCAGGGAGCGTGTGCTGGCGGTCTTGACTGCTGATATTGCTCACCTGCTGTCTCACTGTGGCTGTGTCGCGGTGTGTCTGACAGCTCTCCAGAAAGAAATCTCCACAGGGCACATGAGCTGGTTTGGGTCAAGGATGAGTCTTTGACCCTTTTTTAATCAGTGGTATGACAATAGCCCTTTAGCCCTACACAGCCGGACTGTCCATATGGAAACCTCCCAAGGCAGTGGAGACATGGGAACGTGAGGTCCAAGCAGGTTCCTCTCCATCAGCCCACTATCACTGTCCCAGGCCATGGTGGTCCCAGCTTCATCACATAAATGGGCATCCACCAGCCCCTCTGAAGGCTGCATCTTTCCCAGGATGCAGGGAGTGGTGGGGATCTTGACCCTCCTAATCTGGAGATGGATTAGCCTCTCCTCGAGCTCAGCATCGGCCTTACCCTCCTGCTCAGGAGGTGGCCAGGGGACACCACACTTGGAGAAGGAAGGGGCACGGGGACAAGGCTGCCAGGATGAGAACTGCTCCCCTGGGGTCTTGCTCTCTCCCTACCAGTTCTCAAGGGCGAACACATCGTGTGGATCCTTCCGCAGCGACGAAGGTGGCAGCCTTTCCCTGGTAGGGGCACCGAAATGTCTCCCTTCTCAGTGTTTATTTTCACAAGCCCTCAGATGCCTGTCACGGAGCTCAGACTGCCTTTGAAACGCGGTGAAGTTAGCCAACATGACGGCAGAAGAGAAGGAGAGACAGGCAAGCTGTGAGATCACACAAAGTTCATTTATTTAGGAAACCAAATACAATTCTGAAGCCAAATTAGAATCTCTTGTTGTTACGGGAAGTGCCTGGAACAGACAAAATGAAATCTTGCTTGGCAGGGTCTGATGGAATCTGCATGGTTCTGGTGCAGCTTCAGGAGGATTTATGGGATTTCGCACTTTTTCCCCTCTTGTTTTTCAGGAACACGTGCCTACCTGGCTGCAGAACACCCACATTTATAACTGGCCGAAGAATAAGAAGAACATCCTTCTGCGGTTGCTGCGGGAGGAGGAATACGTTGCCCCTCCGATAGGACCTTTACCGACACTCCAGGTTGTGCCGTTATGAACGTTATTACTTAGAGTGCACGACGACAGGCAGTCATTGAGGGGTTGTTCCTGGCAGGGAGCCAGCGCTCTTCCAGATGGCTCATTTTGATGACAGAAGACACTCTTTCTGCTACAGGAATTAGTTGTCTTGGGTAACTCAGCCTCGGCTTGTTCTCTGCCGTGTTAAACATCTATTTCTGAAGCTGACGGGGCAGAACTCTTTTTCCTCTAGATTTTTAAATAAGCTGCAAATGAAAAGAATGCCTAGTTTTATTTTAACATCTGTTTTTAACATATTCCTTTATTAGCCGATACAGCAAACAGAGAGCAGAAATAACGTTGCAATAAGTGTAAAATAAAAACGACATCCTCCTATTTGCTCAGGGCTTCTTTAAGGATATTCCTTCCTTGTATAGCATTATCGCACAGTTAATTTGCATCTACACTATTGAAGATATTTGCCTTTTGCAAGGCGACCTTATATATTGCATCAGCTTTTATTATTGCTGGGAACAACGGAGGAATGGTAACTGTTGGGCAATGCAAGTTTCCCTGAGCCTGTCTTGCATAAAGCCACTGTCTTCAATTAGAGGACTCTCAGATCTGAAATCCCTGGAGTTCCGTTTCCATACAGCTTGGCCCCTAACACCTTCGGCGCGTTGCAGCAACAGTCCGCAAAAGGAGTCCTAAATGCACGGCCACGTGCGTGCTGTCGGTACCGTGGAACGCCGCAGCATGTTTCATGGCGGGCCTTTAGCTTCTTTTCTGCTCTCCAGCCCTCGTCTAAAGCAGAGCCTGTCCAGGGACAGCTGGCATTTGCAAAGCCAGCGGCTGTTAAGAGAGGTAACACTGACTCCTGCAACTTGCACGCAGTATGGAACGGTGAAATAATCAAAGGTGTTGGAGAGCCACGGAGTGTTGGCAACCAGGAAGGCTCAACACCACCACAGCTGCTAAAATTCGGGATTTTCTTTCACAGAGCATGTAAGTTTGACTTTGCTGAGGGTTCGTTTTTTAAAAAGCTGCTTTAACCTTACTGAGGTAACAGTGTGCCCTGTTGGCTTGAAGTTCTACTTCGGCGTAGTCGTACAGTAACGTCCTGCTGTGATGCAGAGCGCTTCACGCCTGCTCAGTGCAGCCTCTTGCCAAGATCCTCCTCAGCTCTATGATTCGGCACAGAACGACCCAAACCCACCTTTACGAAAAAAGTACCTGTGCGTGGTAGTCTGAAAAGTAACTTAGCCCAGAAGCGGCTACTCCTGTTGCACCACCCAAATTATTTAATGAGCGTTCCAAGAAGGTGGTGCCAGCGCGGTGTGTTGATGCAGGACACGCTTTGTGGCGCCGGCAAGAAACAACCCAGGAACCGCACTGCAGCTGGGCTCAGCTTTTCCCTTAGCAGGCTTCTGCGTTCGGAGTTGCAGCCATTAAAGAGGACTGGGAGAAGGGTGTGTCCACTTTTGTCTGCTCTTACGATTTTGGTTGTGGTGTTTGCTGGGCTGCTTACAACTCCAGCGTCTAAGGGAAAGCTCATCGACTGAAATAGGCTGGTGCCTGCCGTGCCGGCGGCTTCCTGACAAGGCACAGGGAAATCGTGTTAGGTATTGGTACTTCTTGTTACCTACGTGCGTGTGGGGGGAGTGGGCCCGTTTTCCATGTGATAAAATTAAAAAAATAAGCTTCCAGTTAAGAAAATAATTTTCTAGTGTATGTTGACAAGGCTAAAATCGTGACAGAAATCCTTCTTGAAAGGTCAACAGAGTGAACAAAAGGAATGGGACGTGGGTACCTGAACATCGGCGTTTAGGGTTACTTGGGGTGCCCTGCGGTACGCAGCTCAGCCTCCCGGTTGAGCAAGGCTCCTGGCAGGCTCTGGCCTATCTCTGACTCAACAGGGTTGTCTCTGGTATTTTCAGATCTCATCTGAAGTGTTTTAACACTCTGAACTAGTCTGTCCAAAATGGCTGCTGGGCCCCTTGACCCATTTCTACCACATTTAATTGGCAGAAACTCAAAAGGTACCAAGTGCCCATCTAGCTTAACGGGATATAATTATGCGGGCAAAGAGCTAGCTGTGGCAGCGGAGCGCAGGTCTCTTCCCAGCGCTCACAGGAGTCCCAGCTGGCTACCCTGCCCCTCGATGGGGCTGGGAGTGCTTTCAGGGTGCGCAGCCTGCCTAAGGCTGGAGGAGAGAAATCTGTAGGGACTGAGGCTGTGTCAGTTCTGCTGCTTGTAAAGCAACATATTAGGGAGCGCAGTTAAGCATTCAGAATGATTAGCGAGGCGGGGTAGTAAATTCCTTTCATCATTTTGGCTGTCATCCTAAAATATGTGCTCTAGATTTACCACAGATTTGCTTGGTTTGGGCCAGGGAATTTCATTAAGTAACTCCTGCATCATGTGATACACAAGGTTGCATTAAATGGTCCAGTGATCCTTTCTGTTCTTCTGTTCCAATGATCCTTTTCTGAAAAACAACGATAGCGGGGCGAGGAAGAAGCACTAAGAGCTGGTGTTTAGGAAGTACAAAGAGCCCCATCTATTTAACTGCTGGGGCATTATTTATTAATTTTTTTTAATTGAGTAACAATTCCCAGGATTCATTGATCTGTTAGAGCATCCTACAAGGACAGAAACCATGATGAGGAGAGTGTGAGTAATGAGCTAGCAGCCTAGTGAATCATTTCCCCTAAAGCTTTGTATTTGTAGAGAGACAGATGGTGGGAGCTGTGAAGAGGGAGAGGGAGGAGAAACGCCCTTTTTTTTGCAAACAACAAAAGTAGAGGATGGTGAAAAACCAGAAGTGATCGGCAGGTAAGGGGGAAGAAGAGGCTGAGAATACAGCGGCTGTTTCAAAACTAACACATTAATGTTAAAATGGGTTGGGGTTCAGGGAAAATAGAGGAAGGAGATTACAGAAAACAAGAGCTTTGTGGCCTATAGGGGAAAAAATTACAAAGAGCAGCCCTAAAAATATACTTGTAGATGAACTCTGGAGTCAGTTATTAACTGCATGTGTAAATAACGAGGAAGTAGCTGAAAGCATACATGTCCCACGGCCTGGCAGGCACGCGCTGAGGCAAAAGGCATCGCTTGAACAGCGACAGTAGTGCCGGGGGTTTCACAGCACCTCTGCATCTGCAAGGGCTGTGTGAGAGAGGAAACACGCTGTCCCTAACGGGGAAAATAAGTTGTGATGAGTGCAGCATTTAGCCAGAGATCATTGAGAAACGGCCTGCTTTGCGGGGCATGCCGAAACTCGGGGAACATTAATGCACGTGAAGATTCTTTTATGCAAGTCACCTGTGGGGCAAAAATACGGTTGCAAAGTTTTTATCCTGCAGTTAAGCTAGCTCTGCCTCTCCAGCGACGGAAGCGTGCGGCAGTCCCAGTACAAAGTTAATCCAATGAAGTCCTGCTCACAGGACATGAAATGCTGCCCTAAGAGCTCATTTTCTCCGGGTAGGCTCTTAACTGCCATCATTCGGTGCCACTTAAGAAAATAAAGCAGCAGGTGTCCCTGCAGCCTCCCTGGGGCCAACAGCAGGGCAGATAACGAAGCTGGCTCGTTCCAGCAGCCCCACACAAGGCCGCCTTGCTGGGAGCATGTGTTTCCCTCATCTCCAGCCACAACCGGGCCACAGGTACCGCAGACCCGGGCATCTTAATAGCAGCATCAGTCCGGGCAGCAAACTCAGGCAGTGTGGTCAGGGCAGCAACGAGACATACTGAATGAGGAAAAGGGGCAACTGCCACCACTTCCCATGCTTCTGGCTTGTCGGGTTGGAGATGCTGAGGGAGATACCAGGTCTTAAAAGGGAAGATGGGGATGGGGGGAGAAGGGGGAGCTACGTGGCCTTGCAGTGCAATAGTTCTGCGGTGGTAACGAAGGAAAACACGTGAAGGACCTGAGGAGAGGTCCCTCACCCTCAGCGTGCAGAACAGGTGCACCTTATCTTCCAAAGCAAACACACCTCTTGTCATGCATTGGCTTTAATTTAACAGGCTCCCCATGCCCGCACCTGCGGGAGTCTGCTGCTGTTTAATGCTTTTGGGAAACAGATCCTGCCTGAAGGTCACAGCTTTCGGCAGCCTCCCCCTCCAGCGTACCACGGCATTGCTGCAGGAAAGCACTCAAACCATGCCGGGTTCGGAGTACCGATGGGCTGGTGCTGCTCCTTCTCCCTGTTCCCTGACACAGGTGTTCGGAAGTTCAGGGCAGGCACACAGCACATGGGTATGGTTAGAAATCTCCCCCGTGTGCCAGTAGCTGCTGGCGTGGGTCCCTGCAGCCAGCAGGAACTGCGCTGGCACACAAACATTTCCCAGAAGTCACTTGCAGGGCCCTGTCTGAGACGCTAGGCCTTCACACGCCTCTCCCGCCTTTTCTGATGCTGTTGCAATTAGTGGGGGAAAAACAGGATCTGTATTTGTGTGACATCCGTATTAAACCGGTTATTGCGAACAGTGAGAGGTGGTCTCTGCTCTGGAGCAAGCAGAGGCGTGCATCACGCCCCTGCTCTGAGCCAGCCGGGCACTGGATGCTGCTGCCAATACAGGCAAAGCCAAACCGCACCCCGAGGCACTGGCCCGCAGGAGGAGGCAGTGAAGTAGCAGCCTCTCCAGTGCTGGCTCCAAATTAAGGCAGGAATAAGCTGGGAGAGCTGAGCCCCACTCCAGCCCTGGGAGTCTGGGGCTCGGAACCCTGCCTTGGCCTGGTCACTGAGCCGTACACAGACCACCAGCTGTATCCCTGCCTGCAGCCAAGAGCACTTGTAAACAAAGAAAAAACCCATCCAAACCCAAGTTTCCCAGCCTGACCAGAGCTGCCAGCGAGGTTGTGTTTCAAGGGCTCGCTGGTGTAGATGGGACCGGACAAACACAACGGCACATAACCTCCATCATAGCTTCAGGCACTGTGCAGATCCATGCAAACTGGAAAAAATCTCACCAAAGGCAAAGGGAGTTGTTTGGGTTTTTTTAAGCACTTGTTCTTCATTGAAAGGTATCAGGGACTTCTCTGGTTTCCAGAGGGGGAGAGGGCAAGCGCCTGCCCACCAAACCCTGGGGTTAGGGGAGTTTGGCAGTAACTTCTGCAGCCGCCAAGGCCTCGCGGCTAATGGGTGGATCCAGGGAATCTCAGCCAAAGCATGGATGCACCCAGTGGGTGTAAATCCCTGCAGGCCTGGCTGTTGGGGAAAGGGGTGGCCCAAACCCTGCCACGGAGCAGATGACTTCCCAACACCTGATGTGCAGATTGGGCAGATGAGGCCCCCTCTGTTGTACTGGGTCAGTCTTCTAATCCGGGGGGGGGGG